CCCCCCCCCAAGTGATGGTTTCTCCTTCCTTCAGGAAGCAAATTACTTTCTCATGTAGACATTCTCACGTATGCCTTTCAACTGCGGAAGTGTTCTCCATTTGAAACAGGTTTATCACTGCAAACTACCGATGAAATAGGCTCTTGGTGACCTCCGGGTTATATATTTTTGTATAATGTTTTGTGACTAATTGCTTATGACCGCATGTAAATGAGCTGCTCATGTATCCAAACAGATATGATCACATTCTGAAGTGGGAACTCTTCCAGCTAGCAGACCTGGACACGTACCAGGGAATGCTGAAGCTGCTCTTCATGAAAGAACTGGAACGAATTGTTAAACTGTATGAAGCATACAGACAAGCCCTTCACAGTGAGCTGGAGAACCGCAAGCAGAGGCAGCAGTGGTATGCACAGCAACATGGCAAGAATTTTTAAACTAACAGGTTTTTTGGGGATTTTTTTTTAAACTTGACTTTTATGAGGACACTAAAAGCTTTAAAAGATTATTTTCACTTTTTTTTTAAAACCATGAACAAGTGCTTTGGTTAAAAAGGCAGCTTATTTTTGTTGATGTTGCACCTTTGTAACTATCTTCTTGAATTGTTTTCTACATATATTATGTACTGTTCATAGAATGAAAAATGTTTGTTAATCTTTCTCTGTGCAAAAAAAAAAGTTTAGTCTATTTCGAGAGCCAGTGTGGGGTTTGAAATGGACTTCATCCTGGTATCTCCTGGTAGCAGCCAGCTATAGTATTAAGAAGCTGACTTCTATATTTTTAAACAGCAGCAGATGCAATTACAAAGAACGTCATGGATGCAAAATATTAAAATCAAAATTCATCATTTTATTCCCCTTCATATGTCCTACATTAATCTCTGGAGAGAGACTGCTCTCATTTACAACTTCAATGTACAGAACACCAACATTGTTACTTTCCAGCAGCGCCTGCCAGTAGTGCAGAAACAGATCCTTTTCAATCAGAATAAAGTGCTTCATCGACAAAATGAAGCATGAGGTTGCCTTATCTTTTTACTCTGTTTTTATGCAGCAGATCACTTTAGATCTGCCACTAGTCTGCACAGAATTTTGTCAGAGGGAAAATGACCTGCAAGCCTCTCAGAGACTAAGACCAGCACCCACACATGCTGAGCTGACTGTAGTTTATAATGAGGCATGTTGGGCGATGTTAGAATTATCCAGCTGACTTTATCAACCTTAACTCTCCATGATAAAATCAGGGAATTTAAAGAATCAAAATTTTTTTGCAAAAACATTGTCCTGTAGCAAAGTTCTCTTTATACATGATTTTTTAAAATTGTACAGGTACCCGTTCCTATATTTTCTTGGGTTCCTTAGCTGTCTGAAATGTTATTTATGGATCCTTTTTAGTGCAATAATTATTGTTGCAGACAAGAACTACATTTCCTGTAAATCACTTCAATAAATTTGTTTTTTGGTTAATAAGTGTGGATGTGATTGATTTGCCTATCCAGAATTTCAAGTGGACCGTGGCAGCTGAAGAGTATGTCTGTGTGATAAACGTGCTTGCTGAAGGCTCTATGAAGATTAGACCAAGTGTTTTTCTGTATTTGTTTAAATATTAAGCTATAAGTTGTTGCTAAAAGCCTAATTATAGTTTAAGATGTAGTGAGGCCTTGTATAAAGTAAGGCCTA